TTCCTTCCTTCCTTCCTTCCTTCCTTCCTTCCTTCCTTCCTTCCTTCTCTCCTTCTGTCCTCCCTTCCTCCCTCACTCCCTCCCTTCCTTCCATTTTTTTTTTTTGGTATTTTGAGACAGGGTTTCTCTTACTATATTGGAACTCACAGAGATTCACCTGCCTCTGCCTTCCCTCTGATAGGATTAAAGGTGCGCACCGCTGCCACCACCACCTGATTTTGATTTTTTATTTTTTAAATACAATGCAACAGTGTATATGATATCTTTAAAATGAATAATAATGATAACAAACATAATAATGTATGTTATTTGAGGGAGTAATTTAAGAACATTTTTCAGATCTTGAATTTAATAATAGTATGAGCTTATATTTAATGTTTCTTGTCAAACACATTCTTAATATAATTACATATATGTACATTACCTATATATCTGTCTACACACACACACACACACACACACACACACACACACATCTCCAGAATTAACTCTCGGTTTCTCTAATTCTTCTTCCGTTTTGAAGGAGGCTTGTGAAGTGGCTCAAAAATAAATTGCCTATAAATCTTCGCATACCAGAAATAGCTCAGAACTAGAACACTGATGAATGTGAGCATCAAGACAAAAAGCAAGGCAGCGACCAGGTAGAAACTTGGGCTAGAAAAAGAACAACAACAAAGAAGCCATCAGAAGTTATTATTCACACTCTGCCGTTAATTTATTCAATCAAACTGTCTTAGAATGGCTAGCTCCCCTGCTGGCCACACAGAACGGAGTAGTAAGACCTAGCATCTGTCCTCGGGGTGGTTAAATGTTTGAGGCTGATGAGGAAGAGGGGTGTGATCCTCAGGAGAGAAGGGAGCGAGGAGCCCGGAGTGGTGCAGAGGAGGAGGGACCTAAATGTGGGTAGGGGCCAGCTAGTGCTGCCTGGGGTGGAGGAAGGGACCATGGCAAAACAGTGTTTGAGGCAAAGGGAGATTTCTTGCATGGAGGAGATGCCACCGAAGCATGAAGAAACCTAGAGGTCCTTCCAGGACGTTCTGGAATGGAACCTAATTCCGTGTGACCAAGACCTCCAAAGTCAGACAATGTGGTTAGAAATGAGGGGTGATGGGTACAAAGGGATGGGGGATGTGGTTAAATGTTTACTCGGAATAAGGTCTGAGCTTGCTTTCTCACACTGAGAGAAAAAAGGAAAAAAAAATAGGTGGGCATGTGTCAGGTAAGAAAAAGCTTACAGTAAGTAGAGAGAGTATGACATTTATTCAAAAGGCAAGAGGGTGTTTCATGTGTGTGAAAGGGGATAGACATTTTCTAAGGACGATCCTGACTGAATGTGAAGAGTGAACAGTGAAGGCCATGTGAGTCAGTCCTAAGGGATTTGTAAGCGATGGTGTGGGGAAAAAATGGAGAGATGTGGTTAGGTCCAAGACAGATTTAAAGGTTAGACTGGATTTGTCTCGGCAATTGTTAAGATGTGGCATATCAGGAATGGGAAGGAATAAAGAGAACGGCCAAGTGTGGGGGACAGTCACCATGAGCTGGTGTCGCTACTCACTGGCATTAGACTCAGAGGGAAGAGGGCAGGCAAGGAGAACCGGCTGCAGTATGTTCCCACACTGGCCTGGAGCTCCTGGGCTCAAGTGATCCCCTCGCCTCAGGCTGCAGAGTAAGCAGTGCTACCCCTGCAGGCTCAGGGCCTGGTTACATGGCTGGTGGAGAATGAGCATTTGTGAGTGTGTGTGAGGGCATATGTGTGAGTGTGTGTGAGGGCATAT